CATGGACCAGCCAAATCTGAACATGAGGCAGCGTCGGTGGTTGGATGTGGTGAAGGATTATGATTGCGAGATCCTTTACCACCCGGGGAAGGCCAACGTGGTGGCCGATGCGCTTAGCCGCAAGGCGGCGCTGATCAGGGACGTATGCATGAGGATGACCGTAGTGACTCCCCTATTGGAGCGAATTCGGGAGGCTCAACAGGAGGCTATCAAGGAGGAGCATCGAAAGAGCGAACGCGTGGTGGGTCAGGTGTCCTCCTTTGATTATGATAGTCGGGGTCTATTGACACTACACCATAGGGTGTGGGTGCCATATCACGGGGGCGTCCGCCAGATTTTGATGGATGAGGCGCACAAGTCCCGATTCTCTATTCATCTCGGGGCGACGAAGATGTATAGGGATCTCCGTCTGAACTATTGGTGGCCCTGCATGAAGCGGGATGTGGCATGGTACGTTGAACGATGCTTGACTTGCAGGAAGGTCAAAGCCGAATATCAGAGACCACATGGTAAGATGCAGCCGTTGGACATTCCACTATGGAAATGGGAAGATATCACCATGGATTTTATTACAAAGCTTCCCAGGACCGCGCGTGGAGTGGATTCGATTTGGGTCATCGTGGACCGACTGACCAAGAGTGCTCACTTTATTCCGATTCAGGAGAGTATATCGGCCGAGAAATTGGCCGATATCTATATCAGGGAGATCGTGGCGCGGCACGGGGTGCCGGTATCGATGATCTCGGACAGGGATGTGCGTTTCACTTCCAGATTTTGGAAGAAGTTTCATGACGAATTGGGCACTCGATTGCATTTTAGCACCGCCTTTCACCTGCAGACGGATGGTCAGAGTGAGCGGACCATCCAGACTTTGGAGGACATGTTGCGGGCGTGTGTGTTAGATTTCGGTGGTAGCTGGGATACCTATCTTCCCTTGGCTGAGTTCTCATACAACAACAGCTACCACGCGAGTATTGACCGACCACCATTCGAGATGTTGTACGGGCGGAGGTGCAGAATCCCGATATGTTGGGGTGAAGTTGGCCAGAGAGTCATGGGAAGCACCGAGGTGGTGCTCGAGACGACCGAGAGGATCCAACAGGTTCGGAGCAGACCTCAGACTGCTCAGAGTCGGCAGAAGAGTTACGCCGACAAGCGTCGATCCGACTTGGAGTTCCAAGTCGGGGATATGGTTCTCCTAAAAGTGTCGCCTTGGAAGGGCGTCATTCGATTCAGGAAGCGGGGCAAGTTGGGCCCAAGATTCATCGGGCCGTTCAGGTTGCAGACCGGGTGGGCAAGGTGGCGTATAGGCTGGATCTGCCAGCCGAGCTCAGTCAGATCCACAGCACTTTCCATGTTTCTCAGCTGCGGAAGTGCCTAGTGGACGATTCAGCGGTAGTACCGTTGGAGGATATTCAGGTTGATGACAGTTTGAACTAGATTGAGCGCCCAGTCGCAATACTCGACAGGAAGTCGAAGGACTTGAGGAACAAGAGGGTAGAACTAGTGAAGGTGCAATGACAGCACCGCAAGGGTTTAGAATGGACTTGGGAGCCGATGGACGAGATGATGGAGCATTACCCCAAGCTGTTTCAGGATCGAGCAGCAGACTTCAAGGACGACGTCTAAAATAAGTGGGGGAAATTTGTAGCACCTGGTTTCCGGTATGTAAATCTTATTTGCGTATTTCACATTTTGGCCTTGGACTCGGCGAGTCATAGGTCCAACTCGCCGAGTAGGGACGAGACTCAGGACACGTTTAAGTTGGCGACTCGGCGAGTCCATATCCTGGACTCAGCGAGTCACCGCTGCTGGATGAAACCCTAAATTTCAAGGGTTTGCACCCTATTTAAACCCTCATTTCCGCCCCAAACTCGCCCCCATTCACCCTCAGAGCTCCCAATCGTTTATACCCTTATTTCCTTGAGAGATTGAAGTGTTTTGGTGTGTTCTTGAAGATTTTGAGGAGAAGAAGAGTAGATCAAGAAGAGGAGAAGGAGGCCACATCTTTGTGTCATCTCAACGTTTTCCTTGAGGTATAGCTCGTTTCCCCTATGTTTTCAAGCTTGTAGTCTCTTTTAGCTTCATGGAAGTCCTTCTTGAGCTTTTCCCCAAGCTTGTTTGTGCATTGTGGGTTGTAATAAGTTGTTAGCCTTTAGATCTAGGCATGATTTAGTCCCTGGAGCTTCGATCTAATGCCTTTATGGGGTCATATTGCATGAAAGCCCTAGATCTACCTCTTTTGGTGCACTTTGAGCCCTAAAATCCATATTGGTGAATATCTACACGTAAAGTTGGAAACTTTACGTGTGATTCGTGTCCTAGAAGCCCAGATCTGTGAATGGCATGGACTGGAATCGAGCAAATCGGTGTATTTGATGGATGCATGGTGACGACTCGGCGAGTCGTTTATGTGACTCGGCGAGTTGCTCGCGAGTCACCGAATTGGTCCCTTTATGATGTATCGAGTTTGAGCCGTGAGTCACAGGGGGTGACTCGGTGAGTTGGAAGCTGAACTCACCCATGTTAGGACTCGCGAGTCAATGCCTGACTCGGCGAGTCCAAGGCAATCTTCATAGATCAAGAACAGACTCGGCGAGTTGTTCATACAACTCGGCGAGTCTAAGCATGAGTGTTCATCGGATGAAGATGAACTCGACGAGTTGTTCATACAACTCGGCGAGTAGGACGAAGAACTTCAATGTCAGTTTAGAAGAAGAACTCGTCGAGTCTAGCCTAACTCGACGAGTAGAATCAGGGACTCAGGACAATCGTCTGGACAGGAACTCGGCGAGTTGGTGAGCTAACTCGGCGAGTCGAAAAGTTAACTCTGACTTTGACTTAGGGCTAGACCAGGGGTAAAATGGTTATTTTACCCAAAGGACAGTTAGAAGTGTGTGATTGAGTATGTTGTGGGAATTGCAGTCGGAGGAGTTTCGGGGCAGCAGCAATGGTCAGTCAGTTCCCGATCAGTTCAACAGCTACTTTGAGGTGAGTTACCTTCCAGTAGTGGTGGGTCTAAGGCCACAATGTCGGCCCACCAGTAGGAGATGTGTGAGTAGATGATTGTCTTTGTGATATTCATATAGGGTTGCTAGACTATGTGATATATGTGTTATGTGGTAGTAGTAGGGGGTGAAATAGTCCCCAGTATCCGGTCGAAAGGACCGAAGGGGAGGCCAGCACCCAGATATGCTAGGCAGTATCCGGTCGAAAGGACCGAAGGGGAGGCCAGCCCCCAGATTTGCTAGGCAGTATCCGGTCGAAAGGACCGAAGGGGAGGCCAGCACCCAGATATGCTAGGCAGTATCCGGTCGAGAGGACCGAAGGGGTAGGTCGGGCACCCAGATATGCCTAACAAATTTATGTATGTTATGTGATTATGTGGTATGTGGTACAGTGGGGGAACTCACTAAGCTTTGTGCTTACGTTTTACAGTTTTGTGTTAAGGTACCTCTTTACCGAAGGGGAAGGAGCTAGCGCGGTAGCGGCATATCATGCACACACTCTGGTTTCCGCATTTACGAAATTCACTGGGATTTGTACTCTGATATTCTGATGGGTTGTATGGTTTGGCTTTTGAACATGATTTGCTTTGTGTTGTGGTTTGATCAAACAATGTTTTAATTATTAATGTTTTCTAAAGTAATGTTTTAAAACAAAATTTTCGGATGTGAAAAATTGGGTCGTTACAGTGGATGTCGCCACAATTTTCGTTTCTGTCACCCTTATCCATCGTGTATGGGTGCCTCTCTGTGTGTGTGTGTGTGTTTAATGTAACTTGTGTAAGATTGTGGTGTTATGTTGTATGAACAATGTATGGCCTGAAAATCCGAAGAAACCACCACCACCACCACCATCCGTTGTGTTGGGAGGCGGTGTGCATTATGTGTGATTAGACTGCTTTTGGGATGCTTGGACACGATTTGGACTAGAATCATAACCACCACCGTGAGCCGTCGTTGACCACTACTACCCGAGGTGGTAGTGGGTGGTGCCCAACTTATTTAGCCCTAATTGACCTAATGAAACCCTAATTGACCTAAAAACTAACCATTTGGTTAATTGGCACACTATTGGGTTGGACACCCTAATTAGGGTTTAGATTACCCTAATTTTGGACATGTTAGATTTGGTGTTGTTGGGGCCCGCGTTTGGACCATTGGATTTGGAATTTTGAATTACACCTAACCACACTATATGTTTGGACTAGTGGAGTGGTGGATTTAATGGATTAAGTCCTTAATGGGTTAAGTAGAAACACTTAACCCTAATCACCATTTTATGTGAAAAACCCTAATTGGGTTCGTGTTCTTGTTCGACCATTTCTTGGATTGGGTTGCGGTGGGCCTTTGTGGGCCAAATGGGAACATGTTTATGGACTAAGGAAAGTATTGGGCTTTATGATAAGGCCCATTGGAGAGGCTTGGGCCTAATTTGGAAAATTGGGCCATAGGTGAGCCATAATTGGGTCTTGATGATTATGAGATATTGGACCATCGGAATGCCAAACGTTTGGGCTAGGATAAATGCTTGGGCCATAAGATAAGTCCATGTAGAGGTTTGGGGCCAATTTGGAAAATTGGGCTATATGTTGGGCCTTGGTTCATTGATTGGTTTTTTGGGCCTTCAGATTATGTGTTTGGACCTTGGTATTGGACCAAGTTAGGGTAAGGGTAAAATAGTCTTTTTACCCCAATCATGGACTTATGGTTATATATTTGAACCCACTTATTAATTGGGTGCCGTTTTGATGTTGATAGTTCGGGAATCTGTCAACCAGCAACTAGAGTTTTATCCACGAGACTTTGGCAGTGTAAGGTGAGTCTCCTCACCATACCAATGGGTCAAAGGCACCAAGGTCGACCCATTTTGTGATATGTAGTACACTAGTTGAAGTAGTGATATGTGGTATACTAGTTGGTTATATGCTATGTGGTATGTTAGTTGTATATGTGGTATACTTATATGAAAACCCATGGGGATCCCATCACACTTAGATGTCAGACCATGTGGAGACCCATGGCTTTCCTATTAAAGACCATGGGGGGAGCCCATGGTACTTGGATGTAAGACCATGTGGGGAACCCATGGCTTTCCTATTAAAGACCATGGGGGTACCCAGGACACTTGGATGTAAGACCATGTAGGGAGCCCATGGCTTTCCTATTAAAGACCATAGGGGGAGCCCATGAAACTTTGGTGTAAGACCATGTGGGGAGCCCATGGCATCCTGTAGTAAAACCATAGGGAGGCCACGACATCCTAATATGTTTATATGTATGGCTTATGTGATTGATATGGCTCATGTGATTGATACAACTTATGTGATTGATATGGCTCACGTTAGGGATGAAAGTGGGTCCAAACCCGGACCCGATGGACCCAGACCCGGAAAACCCGGAACCGTTTAACGATATTTTTAAGAACCGGAAACCGGGCCGGTATATAGGAACCGGGTCCGGTTCGGTTCCGGGTTTGGTTCCGGGTAAAGTGGGTCTAGAACCGAAAAACCCGGAAATAGGAAAGTGGGTAAAGTAGAACCGGGTCAAATGGGTTTAGAACCGGAAAACCCGGATTTTTTTATTACCCATAATCTTTCAACCGTTATAAAAAAAATGAACAAACAAAAAATTATATTTAAATTATTAGGTTATTGACGACATTGATTTATTTAAAAATAAATAAATAAATAGATATAACAATATTGGTTTAAAAAAAATTGACATTTAGATCATATCACAGTTACCTTAGGTAACTTACCTACGTGCCTTAGTAAACAATCTCAAGATAGTATAATATTATTGACGACAAATCGTATAATATGATCATGTATAATTTAATTGTACCATATAGCCAAATCGTATAATATGATTATGTATAATTTAATTTTCATAGTACCTAATGTCAGTGGTTTATTGATGCAGCCTTACTGCCTTATTTGATAAGTTGAGTAACTGACCCATTTTTTTTTATCACTGTACGTTGATCTTTTTTTTTTTTTTTTTTTAAAGAAATTATATCTTTGACTATTGGATAATTTATTTTGGATTGTGTGTTTTAATTTAAGATATATTGAAATTCTAAATTGTTAGTTATTTATTTATTTGCAACCATACTAACTTGTTTTTTTGCATCTTTGACCTTGAAGGCTTCAACTTTGAAAATTTGAACATAAAAGCAATAGACAATTTTTTTGACATTAGCAATCTTTTAATTTTCATGTTTTGTCAACATCTCACAACTTCTCATTATAAATAGGCCCTTCCACCTCTACATTTTCATTTAACTTATTATTTTCTAAGTTGAAGGTTTTGAGTTGTTTTTTCTTTTCAAGAACATTCATGGAAGCTAACCTCCCAATTCAAGTATGTTTCTTTTTAATTTTATACAAATATGCATTTAAAGTAATTGACTAATTTACGTCTTTATACTTCAATTAGGTTCCGTTTTTAATCTATTAGTTTTATAACTTTGATACTTCATTTTTTACATGCTTTAAATCTACCTAGATTTTTTTTACTTAATTTGTTTAGCATTTGAATTTGAAGGAGAGGTCCACATGTTGGCAACATTTTGATATGTTGTGGGTAGTAGAAAATGATGGGGTTGAACGAAGGCAAGCAAGGTGTAAGTATTGTTTCGCTACACTTAAAGCCGATCCATCAAGACACGGTACAAGTAGTCTTAATAAACATTGTCGTACGTGTGCCAAAAATCCGAATAATATAGCTAGGTAATAAGTTTTGTGCTTTTAATTTATTTGGTAACATTTTTTTTAATACTAAATATGTTTATTTTTGTTTTATGTATAGAGATTGAAGATGCGTTAACTCGACAAGATGGTCAAGGAATAAGTGTTGTTTTGTTCTTAATTGTTTAAGAATTTTGATTTGAATTGTTTTGAATATTAGACTTTGATTTTGAATTGTTCAATAGGTACCATGAACTTGGACCCAACCATTGTCCCCTTCTTCGTTTGTGTTATGTTAACATATTCAAAACAGATTTGATATATCATTTTTGGAGGGCTGTAACTTACTCAAAACACATGCAAATTAGGTGTTTCCAAAGTCTATAACTATTGCCAAACAATGAACTATAACTTAAAAAAAAAATCAGCCCAAACGGACTCATAACGAAGTAGATATGACAGCTTAAAGTTAACGAAAAATTCTAAAATAATGCTGTTAACATATTCAAAACAGCTTTGATATATCATTTTTAGAGGGCTGTAACTTACTCAAAACACATGCAAATTAGGTGTTTCCAAAGTCTATAACTATTGCCAAACAATGAACTATAACTTAAAAAAAAAATCAGCCCAAACGGACTCATAACGAAGTAGATATGACAGCTTAAAGTTAACGAAAAATTCTAAAATAATGTTGTTAACATATTCAAAACAGCTTTGATATATCATTTTTGGAGGGCTGTAACTTACTCAAAACACATGCAAATTAGGTGTTTCCAAAGTCTATAACTATTGCCAAACAATGAACTATAATTTTAAAAAAAATCAGCCCAAACGGACTCATAACGAAGTAGATATGACAGCTTAAAGTTAACGAAAAATTCTAAAATAATGCTGTTAACATATTCAAAACAGCTTTGATATATCATTTTTGGAGGGCTGTAACTTACTCAAAACACATGCAAATTAGGTGTTTCCAAAGTCTATAACTATTGCCAAACAATGAACTATAATTTAATCACATTCCGGTTCCAAATCTATACCGGGTCTACATCTTAATTGGTTCTTTGGCCCACTAAACCCGGACCCGGTCCATTTAACCCGGTTCCGGTTTTTTTAACAAATCCGGTTAAAAAACCCGGAATAACCGGACCCGTTAGACCCATACCCGAAATACCCGGAACCCGGATAAGAGTAATTTTGAAACCCAATACCCGGACCGTTTAAGCATTTTCCGGTTATACCGGTTCCGGTTCCGGTCCGGTTTTTCGGTTCCAAAACTCATCCCTAGCTCACGTGATTAATATGACTTATGTGATTAACATGCCTTATGTGATTGATACGAATTATATGGTTATCTGGATTATGTGGGGTATACTCCGGGGAACTCACTAAGCTTCATGCTTACAATTTTGTTTATGGTTTCATGTATCATCGTTTTGGAAAGGAAGGGTCCGGCTTGATCACAGCGCACTATAACAATTGGTAAAAATAGGAACGATTGTACGATGCTATTTTTTGATTATTAAGCAATACGAGTATTTTATCAAGAATGGTTGAAGGAATTTAACCTCTTTTATTTAAATAAGTTCTTGTGAAATATAAAACAAGTAACTATTGATAAATTTCGTTATGATGTATGGCTACAAACCATCACCGGTTTGTAAAAATTAGCATATAACATCATTTGAACGCAACAAACTTAATTTTTGTATCAACATGTATCTAGTTGATAAATAAGTTAAGTTTTATGTAAAACATGTGCTTAATAGTTGTGGAGGATCTACATTTGACAAATATACGAACCAAAGTGACAAAACGTGTTTAACGATATGGTTAACCGGTTAAATGTCACGAAAGTTTACCTTGGTCAATAAATTTTATATCTAAATAATTAAAAATATAAAATGAATTATTATAAGGTATAATTAGAATGTATTTAAGTGTTTTTCAATAAAAAGAATAAAACATAGACATTAAAGTTCAAATACAAAAAAACTACATTGTTATTTTATACTAAGTATACATGTATGTATTTGTACATATGTATTATTATCTAGTGAATGACTAGTTATGGGTGATGAATTAAAGTGATTTCGTGTAAGGAACATGATGTCTAAATCAATTAAGATAAGAGAATTGGTGGAGATAAGTGCCAACTTAACTAATAAGAATGCTTCTTAATCCCTCTTCTTATTTTTGAGATTAAGACCTTCCCTCTCCTTAAATAGAACTCGTAACTAACTAAATGACTAGTAGTTAGTTGTTTAACTAACCATATCTCTAAGCAACCACCCAAGCAAGTGGCTAGACAAGATCACATCACTTAAACTCACATCCCATCACAAGTTAGTCTAGGTTTTGTCCCATTATCCTCTTCCACCCTTTCCTCCTTCATAATCACGAAATTTCCTCTTCATTTTAGCCTCAATTCACCAGACAATATTCCAGGTAATTACTCTCAACCTTCATCTCATTTTCAGCCACAAGAGCTTCCTTCCAAAGCCATCAAAATCGTGAACTAAAGGTTTGTTGTCCCTTTTGTATTTCAGCCACCATTTCACCCATCTACACCTTCCTTTTGCTTAATATTTTTACCATAAAATACCCCTGGAAGTTAGTTGTTATGCTAATCAAAATTATAGATTCAAAACAGTGAGTAAACTACCCTTTTTTTTTCTACTCTTTTGCTGTGAAGTTTTCATGACAACAACATAGTCAAAACAGTGGTTGTTTTGGAGCATCAAACCAACACCCAAAAGTTCTTCATCTTCAATCTTCCATTCTTCAAGTATTCACATAAGGTGAGTTCATATCCCTACATTTTCATGTTTTCTTCAAGTTTTAATGGGGAGGGGGGATACAAGTTAGAACACTAAACATAACTTAAATTTAAAAGACATCTTTCTATAGAAAAGTTGAGTCCTGTTCACAAACTGTTTTGACCATCTTAAACTTAATATATTTCAAAACTATACAATATGAAAATATTTCTGGTTTATAACTTTCTAAGGACTACTCGCACGCATTTATACGATTTTTCTACAATTTATGGCGATTTTTATAAAACTGTCTGTCATTTTAGAAGTGATTTCGGACCAGTCTGTGAAGATGTTCATTTTCACACTAGTTTGAGACCACTAAAAATCATAATAAAAATTAGGAATAAAGTAGACTCATTTTCTAAACTCTCGGAGGTGATGGATTCAGTTTTCGACTTACTATGATTTTTCTATAAGTTTTCTAAAAACAGGGATAGTAAAGCATAAAATTGTCAAAAGTGGTTTATAAATTTATTAACACCTTCTAACATTTTTTAGCAAGGTTTATACATTAAGGAAGTTAAAACACAATCATTTAAATATGTTTGATTACAATTTTCACAAAAGTGATAAGTATAAAAAGGTCTTTACTATCAAACTTAAGGATTATTTCATGCAAAGTTTCTAATAAAAACGTAAGAATATGAACAACAACTACGAAACATACCAAATCATCTTTTAAAATTTATACATATATATAATCATTTGCATATATATGTTTTGTTTAAAAAACTTGTCTTCTGCATCAAAAATATACAAAAATAGTTTACGAAACTTTACCCCATTTGTATCCCGTTAAGCAAAGGGTAAAATATTATCAAATGCATATTTAAAGATTTCACGTCGTTTTTCATAGCTATCCGAGTCTTAAGTGATGATCATTTATACATACATTTTTAGCACAAAAACACGTAAACTTGTTGATCAAATTTAGTGAGTTTTATCTTCACGGTACCTTATAAAGTACACACGAAATTACTGTTAAATATAACCAGAGTCTCTTGTAGGGAGAGCATGATAGTTGTGTATAGATCTATACTCGGACCGACAATCCCACACCTTAGCTGCTTGTAATAGATAGACCGGAAAGTCTGTGGGTGACAAATGTCATAACGAAATCGACACCTGAAGAACGTTGCGAACAAGGCGGTCTGGGTCAATCTAGCATGGTTATAAGATAAAAATGAAAACTCACATAAAACAACGACATTTTTAGTTTACGCAAAGACAGTCTTCAAACAGTTTTATATACAAACAAAACTACATAACATCATTTTAATTAGGAAAATTACTTATACGCTTCGATCTTGGTTCATTTAAGGTCACATCTCATTTTAGGGAAAATATAGGATTTTTCAGAAAACAAACATTACTACATTTCATAGAAAAGGTTTACAAATATACATACAAATGCTTATGAACTCACCAACTTAAATGTTGATACTCTCTTTTCAAATAACTTGTATTCTCAGGAAATCAGTAAATTAGGTAACAACTGGCTTTGAGGATGGGACTCTTAGGTGTTTAAGCAAATCTTTTGACAACATATTGTAGTTGATATTTTGAAACATGTAATACGTACAAATGAAGTAACTTTTTCAATTATATATATGTTGGTTGTGTTTGCTTTGAACATTTATACTCAACTGTTATGATACACTACATGATAATCACCCGCCCCTCGACGTTTCCGCCATCCTGGTTTGGGGGTGTGACACGCACACACCCGTGTTTCCGCAATATATAATTTTGGGATGAACTCTGATGAATATATTTAATTAATCATGTTTTTGGAATGTTTGGATTTAAAGATATATGTGTTTTGACTGTATTGAAAAATGAAAATTTTGCCCTTGATTTTTGGGTCGTTTCACTAAAGGGATTAATCATTAAGGACCTTTAGATTAAGTTTACACTTTAACTACCTTAGAGGCTTTCATGTTGTGTGTCCTCTTTTACATGCAAATTTAGAAATTCCTAAGCTCTCCCTCATTCTCTCTTGTTTCATTTAGAACACTTGAAGATTACTTGTATTTATACTTTCTTGAAGTTCATACTTTGGTTATAAGCTTCAAGCTTAAGAGTTATATGAGTTTTACAAGAATAGCATCTTAAATCAGGTTGAGTCATTGTTGGTGTCTCAAAGGTTCAACATTCTTCATCAACTTCCAAGCCTCCCAAGATAACTCAAAGAACAACAAAGGTTGTTATTTCTTCATCCTCTATGTGGTTGGTGTTTAAATCTTTTTATAACTTTCAAGATAATCCTTAGTGGGTATAAAATGTTTATGTTATTTTCGAAAATCGTAAGTCTTCCATTTGCTATTTTGTAGTTTTTGAACTATTTTTGAAATAAAACCCAACATTTGGTACTCCACGGGAGACATATGCTAGTCGAGGCCATCAATAGGGATAATTAGCAGAAAATCCTAAGCATGTGGTGCCCGAAGACACTCAA